CTCCTCAACTCCTCCCCCTCCCCCTCCCAAGTTGTAGAGCTCATTTATAACATAGTGTTTTATACATCTCATTGCTACAATGGGTCAGCCTTTATCCTTGTTTCCGCATTTTCCTTCCACTCCCCAAATTAGAAAAATGTATATATAAAATGCAGGTACCAGAATCAAATGCAGTATTAAACAGGGGTTATACCATGGGGGAAGAACATACAAAGGAAACAAAAGAAATCACATAGTACATTAAAAACAACAGCAACAAAGATAAACTGCCTTGTGTCTCTATTTGGGGTTCATTTCACTTAGCACCATCTTTTTTTTTCTTTTTCCTTTTTTATTATGAAAATACCTTACAGAGGGGTTCCAATTACATGGGCAAGATAATGAGTACATATCTTTTTTTTTTTTTTTTTTGGTCCGGTCATGGGGCCTGAACTCTGGGCGTGGGTGCTGTCCCTCAGCTTTTCAGCTCAAGTCTAGCACTCTACCACTGAGCCACAGTGCCACTTCTGGCTTTTTTCTTTTTGCTTATATGGTGCTGAGGAATCGAACCCAGCGCCTCATGCATGCAAGGCAAGCGCTCTACCACTGAGCCACCTTCCCAGCCCAATGAATACATACCTTATCAAGCATTGTTGCCTCCTCCTTTGTTTCCCCTTCCCATCCCTTCCCATCTCCCCCTTACCCTCACCCCCGCCAAAGTTGTAAAGTTCATTTTTTGACATAATGATTTGTACATCTCATTGTTGCAATGGGTCCACTTGTATCCCTGTTTAAATGATTTGTTTTTTTCCCTTCCCCTCCACAAATTATACCAACATCAAATACAGTGAAAGCAGGGGTTAAACTATGGGGGAGGGACATACAAAGCAACAAAGAAATCATCTTATAAATATGTTAGAAACAATTGCATGAAAGCAAAAACATTTGAATACTTACCTTGGTGTTCATTTCACCTAACATCAACTTATCTGACCTTTTCTGCCTGTCTCAGACATATGCTAGTTATTGCAAATAAGGGAAACCATGGGACCTATGTTTCTTTGGGCCTGGCTTACTTCACTTCCTATAATTTTTTCCAAGTCTTTCCATTTCCTAACAAATGGGGCAATGTCATTCTTTCTGATGAAGGCATAGAATTCCATTGTGTATATATACCACATTTTCTTAATCCATTCATCTACTGAGGGGCATCTGGGTTGGTTCCATATCTTAGCTATGGTAAATAATTTAGCACCATCTTATATGGTCATATGTACATAGCTTTTGATCTTTTCTACTTATCTGGTAAGGTTATACTAAACATATACTAGTTATAGCAAATAAGGGTAACCATGGGACCTATGTTTCTTTTTTTCTGCTTATGTGGTGCTGAGGAATTGAACCCAGGGCCTCTTGCATGCAAGGCAAGCGCTCTACCACTGAGCCACCTTCCCAGCCTGGGACCTATGTTTCTTTGGGTCTGGCTTACTTTACTTAGTATAATTTTTTCCAAGTCTTTCCATTTCCTAACAAATGGGGCAGTGTCATTCCTGATGGAGGCATAGAATTCCACTGTATGTATGTATGTAGATAGATAGATAGAGATATATATCACATTTTCTTGATCTATTCATCTACTGAGGGGCATCTGGGTTGGTTCCATATCTTAGCTATGGAGAATAATGCTGCTATAAACATAGTTGTGCTGGTAGCTTTAGTATAGCTTTATTTGTGATCTTTTGGGTAAATGCCTAAAATGGGATTACTGGGTCATAGGGGAGCTCTATGTGGAGTCTTTTGAGGAACCTCCATACTGCTTTCCAAAGAGGTTGAACCAGTTTACTCTCCGACTAACAATGCAGTAAGGTTCCCTTCTGTCCACATCCCCTCCAGCATTTGTTGTTATTAGAGTTCTTGATTATAGCCATTCTAACTGGAGTGAGGTGGAATCTCAATGCTGTTTTGATTTGCATTTCTTTTATGGCTAGAGAAGTGGAGCATTTCTTCATGTGTCTATTTGCCAATCTTATTTCCTCCTCAGAGAAGTTTCTCTTTAAGTTGAAAGAATCTACTCCTAGTCTCAGCAGCCTTATCATGCTGCAGTTAGATCACCACACTAATGATTTAAAAATATATGCTTACTTTGAGATGCAGAACAACATAGAAGTTAGGAAGGCAGATTTGTCAGTCAGACTACTTGAATTCAAAAATAAGCTCTCCCGAATGTGCCTGTAATCCCAGTAATACCAGAAGTATAAATAAGGAGGATGAAGGTCTAGAAAGGCCTGGACCAAAAAGCAAGATCTTATTTTAAAAAATTAATGAAAGCAAAAAATCCTGGTGTTGTAGTTCAAATGATAGAAATCCTTCCTGGAGAGGTCAAGGCCCTGAGTTCAAACCTTAGTACAGCCAACGTAAATAGATTAGATAGATAGATGATACCATCAACAAAGCATATCAAAACACCCCAAGCTTGACTACCTTCCGTCTAGGTGACCCTGTTAGGAACTGAAGTCTGAGTTTTACAACACCTGAAAGGTAGCAAGTTACCTGAAAGATGGCAGATTTTTCTGCTATAGTCTCAAAGATGCTGGCAAATGATATGAGACTCCTTTGTGTCAAAGGACAATTTATTATAACAATAGCAATAGCCAATGTGTTAGCATTCGTGTTAGTTCCTGATAACTATATACAGAGTGAATTGCATTATAAGAGAGGTTCTTAAAAGGCAAAGAGCTTGAGTGTTTCACAGTGAACCATATGCCTACTTGGTCTCTGCCTAAAAGGAGGTATCATCTTTATATTAGTAACTGTTCTACTTTGTGATGTGGAAGGAGACATCTCTACCTTCTAAGTTATTCACTCAAAGTAGAGCCAGCCTTTATGCGAGATACGCAGAAATATGAAATATCCACACACAATTATCTCCCAACTTTGGATGCGTTCTTCAAAAGTCTCAATTTTCTCATTAAAATGGGATTGTTGGTATACTGTATGTAGTTGCAAGGATCAAATGGATAGAGTACTTATTAAATGCAAAATATCATGCTTTGATACCAGGAATCATACCTGCTTCATTGGTGAAAGGGCTGTCAATGGGAATCACTGTTACAAATGATTATTATCTGTGTAAGATACAAGCATGTAATATCTAGCAAATAGAATATTTCAGCTTGCCAATTTCTCTATTAGGCTCATCAAATAATAGAACTAAAGAGTACTTTAAACCCGATGTTTTACAAGTAAGAAAAAAGGTTCGGAGAGATTAAGTGATTTGTTAAATTTCACACAGAAAAGCCACTAAAAGGACAAAAGTTTACTAATATAAAATTCAGGTTCTTTTAAATTATGCACAATGCCTGATAGAGCTCAATACTGGTGTTACAAATCAAGCAAAGTAAGGCTGTATGTGTTGGAAAATATTTCACATGTTCCTATGGTCACATTCTTTGTTCTACTTGCCTATTAGCATCCTTAGATATGGTCCCAGAAGGTAAAAACAAATAAAAGTCATCCTTCTGCAGAAGTAGAATAATAAAAATAAAGATAAAAAATAAAATAAGGCTGGGTGCTGGTGGCTCACACTTGTACTCAGGAAGCTGAAATCTGAGGATTCAGGTTCAAAGCCACCCTGGGCAGGAAAGTCTGTGAGACTTTTTAAAATGTGTTTTTTATTGTAAAAATACTGTACAGAGGGGTTACAGTTACATGAGCAAGGTAATGAGTACATTTCCTATCAAGCATTGTTGCCTCCTCTTTTGTTTTTCCCCTACCAACCCTTCCCTCTCACCTCCAAAACTACACTCCCCCCCATACTTATAATGTACCATGTGATTTTTTTTGTTTCTTTGTATGTTCCTCCCCCATGGTATAACCCCTATTTTCACTGTATTTGATGTCGGTGCCCTACATCTTGTATATACACTTCTCAAATTTGGGGAGGGGAAGGGAAAAAATAAAATGCTTAAATAGGGATACAGGTTGACCCATTGTAACAATGAGATGTACAAGACACTGTGTAGACAAATGAACTTTACGATGTGAGACTCTTATCTACAATAAACTACTCAAAAAAAAGCCGAAAGTGGTGCTGTGGCTCAAGTGGTAGAGGGTTAGCCTTGAGAGAAAGAAGCTCAGGGACAGTGCCCAGGCCCTGAAACCCCAGGACTGGCAAAAAAAATAAAAAGATAGCAGTAACTCATATTTCTCTTCTTTATCTGCATCATAACCACTGTCTCCATGCAAGAAAGAATCACAAAGAAAACTAGAAAACTGTAAGGATCGTGTTTTCTGTGTGTGTAGGTAATGTTAAAAGTGGTCTCATCCTAGATAACTGCAGGGAAATCCTGTATGTCAACAGCTTCATGCTGGCTTAATAGACAAACTTGCTATGGCATGTGCAAGAAGAATAAGGAAAGGGAGACCAGGTTAACAGAGGGAACATCTGGTTTCAGAAGACCACATGCAAAATTCTTGGGAAGATTTGTGGAAGTTGTACCAAAAAGGTCTTTAAGAATGAATTCATGTTTTTGTACTTCTTCTTAGTACAAGTTGCATTGTTTCTCTTCTTCAAGAGGTCTTTCTTAAATTTTCATTCTTTGGAGCTCCAAAATTCTTTCAGAAACCCTAAGCCAGAGGTGAGCATAAAGAAAATGATGGAGAATGCAGTCTATCCATTGTATAGTTACTCAATTGCCTCATTTTCTGCTCCAGGTAATTCTGTACTAGCTGTGTTCCACACCACATGACCAAGTAGAGATGTGGCTCAAGTAGTAGAGGGCTAGCCATGAGCTAAGGGGCAGAGCCCAGTCAATGAGTTCAAGCCCCAGTACTGGTGTGTATGCTCACACACACACACACACACACACACACACACACACACACACATTACTAGTATGAACAATTTTATGCTCATTCCTTTGGGCTGAAAAAGTATTCCAATCAAGCCTCTGCTTTTAGAAAAAAATGACTTTAGTTCAGAAATAGCTGTTTTAATGTTCTTAATGCTCTCTTTGCCTCAGGTGATGCAGATGTATCTTCCTTTTTGTGGAATTGCCATATCCAATGCCCAGCTCTTTGCTGCCTCAAGGAAAGAATACGAAAGAAGCAGGGTGAGTAGGAGGAAACACTGCTGACAAATGCTTTCTGGTTTCTGTGAGTCATTATCTCTTTTACAAACAGTAGATGATCTTTGTATAATCCAGCACTCTTCCTCATTTGTAAACTTCTGCCAAGCTATGGAGGAAGAGTCCTTTGAAGCAGTATGCCAAAACAAAGTGAATTTAAGTCCTCTGCTGTTGTTTCTGGGGCACTGTACTGATTCCATTTTTAAAAAAGAAAAGAAAGAGGAAGAAATTAGTCTCACACTTATGCTACAAGGCAGCAGACAGAGCTTTGCTTGCATGTAGCTTTGAAACAGTAACACGATTAGCTGATGTTTTTACAATTTAGTTTCTTTAAGAAGAAAAGTATGCTACAAACATGATTTCACCTATCTCCAAGATTTTGTTTTTCAATTGAAAGGTTTTCTGGAAGAGTATCCCAAGATTCTTGGGACAAATTACTTATTAAATTATTCTGATGGTCCTGAGGCTTAACCTCAGAGCCTGAACATTGTCCCTGAGTTTCTTTGTGTTCAAGGTTAATGATCTAACACTTGAGCTATAGCATCACTTCTGGCCTTCTCTGAATAGTTTATTAGATATAGGAGTCTCACAGACTTGCCTGCCTGGGCTGGCTTTGAGCTACAATCCTAAAATATCAACCTCCTAAGTAGCTAGGATTGCAGGCATGAGCCACCAGTGTCTGGCTACTTGGGACAACTTTGCTTGACTACTTTATGGAATTAATAAAGAAAAATACTCACAAGAAGTGATTTCATATGCTTTCAAGAGTTATAGGACTAAATAGAAAACGAACAACCCAAAGACATTTAATGCTCATAAAATGCTAAAATATCAAACAATGATTCCATTATATTAGAATTCTCCCACTTTTTTCTGCTGGTCCTAAGGATTGCACTCAGGGCCTTGGCCCTGTCCCTGAGCCATAGTGCCATCTCTGGCTTTTTTGGTGGTTAATTGGAGATAAGAGTCTAACAGACTTCCCTGCCTGGGCTGGTTTTAAATTGCCATCCTCAGATCTTAGCCAGAGTAGCTAGCATTACAGCACCCAGCCATTCCTTTCACAATTAAATACATGAAGAGTACTGTCACAACTTAGACATGTATTTTAAAATGTGCTTTTAAGAAGTTTGAATCTCTTAGTTAATCTCTTAGTTAAATTGCTGGCTCACGAGTTTCACTTGCCAAGCATTATACTAAGGGACTCTCCCACCCTCACCCCTCAACTGAGTCTCATTGACCTTACAGCCATTCTCATTGCGGCACTGTCTACTTTCTGTGATCTGGAGCTTCTTTTCATTGTTAGCTCCCTGTTTACCAATCTCTTCCTTTCACTTGACACTCTGGCAATCTGGTTGACTTCCAGGAAGACAATCTGCTTATTTCATAGTAGCCTGCCTTTCATCACATTTCTCCTCTGTCTCCAATGTCTCCTATCCCTGTTTCCCCTTCCACTACTTTGTGTGTCCTTCAGAACCCAGCTCAGCCTTCCAGTAGCTCTCCCCATTTTCTGCTAATTGTTCCTTGTACACAATGTCAGTGTTCTGTTGTAGATACCCATCATTGTGCCTTATAATATTTGCTGATGATCCTCCTCTCCAACTATATGATGAACTCCTTAAAGAAGCTTTGTGTTTTATTAGTCTTTGCATTCTTGTGTTTGACATACTTCATTTATTCACTCAACAATGTGTATTGTGTGCCATTTGAAGTCTCTGTTCTCCTGGAACTTATTATCTAGTGGACAAAACACAGGTTCAGATAGTGATCGACACTATAAGGAAAAATAAAGTGAGTTAAAGGGATATAGATGAGTGTGGTGGGGCAAATTTTGTATTAAAAGATTATTGTGAAAGTGTCATAAGGAGATGGTATATGAGAAGATTCCTAAAGGAAATGGAAAAGAAGAGCCACAGGGAGATCTGGAAAGAGCATTTCAGGACCTATCAGGTGCAAAGACCTGCATCAGTATATATAAGATGGCAGAGAAAATAGTAGAGCAGGACAGGAGAAAAAGGACAAAGATATGACTTTCATTAGGTCTCTGATGCTAAAAAGGTCTATGGACACGTCAAAAGCTCTGTCTTTATTCTGGGTGTGATGAAAAATCTATTACAAGATTTTTTATCTGAGTCCAATTTACTTTTAAAGAACAACACTCTATCTTCTGGTTGGCGAAGATGACAGACGATTAGAGGCAGGAAAAGGAGTTAGAAGCTGTATTAAAGTAAAGTTAGAAGTGTAATCTACAGGGCTTCCTAATGTGGGGAATGACAACAAAAAGGTTTCCAGCTTGTTAATTTGGCAAGTAAACAACTGAATACAGGTGCTTAAGTTTGGGGTAGGGAGTATAACGTTAGGACTGAAGATTAAGGTTCAATATAGAAGGTATTTAACACCAAAGCATTTTCAGGGTTAATCTAGGAAAGGATGTATAAGAGAAAGAAAGGGGGTAAAATCCAAGATAATGCCAGGAGCAAAGGAAGGTTACTAGAAGAGGAGGGGGAAAGTGCAGACATTTGTTTCTTGGAAGGCAAGCAACATTAAGAAGTATTCAACTGTATGAAATAGTCCAGTGACTGTTTAACTGCGTATCTCTAGATCTTCTCCTCCCTTCATCCTATTCTAGAACTAGTCTGCATTGTGATTTGTAAAACTTTCATCATTTGCTGATAAAGCAGCAATTTTTAATTAGAAGCAATAATATTACTATAATACGATTTGTCAGTGCAAGACTCTAGGCACATTAGTTTTTCCTATGAGAGAAATGTTCCTGTATCTAGGTCCCAGAGGCTCTCCATATAGTTACAACAAATTGAAAAGTTAAATAATTGTTCAGTTAATATGATCCATCTGAAGTAATAATCTGGATGGTTAAGGAAATAATACTTCCCCCTTAATAGCAGGGAATTTGCTTGTAATTATTCAGGCAGTTGTCTTGTTTTTAATGTTGTATTTGAACATGAAATTGTTGTACATTGACTTCTAATAGGGATTTGCTGTGCAAGTGAGGCTTCGTTTAGGGCTGCTTTTACCTCCTGATGTTTCTCTTTGCTTTTGGCCACATAAAAAATATGGCCCTGTGCCACAGCCACAGTCTTTCTTCAGAAGGAAAGCTACCTAAGAACTTTGTTTCTCTTTCATTGGCTCAATAAAGTAGATTCATTTTATGGATCCCTTAACTCATTCAAATGCTTTTCTATCTGAATAGACACAGATAAGAAATGTTCGCATGTTTCAAATGGTTTCAGCATAAATCAAATTCATTACTAAAATTGAAAATTAGTTATGCCCTTGGGATGATCAACACTATACTGAATAGATGTGAACCTGAAAATTCATGAATTCCTTTCATGAGAGGTCAGGCAGGAGACCACACAACTTATTTAATTCTATTGAATGAAAACTCCCTGCAGCCAATTCACTAGCCACATAATTCTCTGATTGCTTTGATAGAAGCATAATTTCTACCACCTTTACCTAGCCCATTATTTTGCAGGCTCTGAAAACACCCATGTCATTAAAAATTCCAAACAAATAAATTTCAAAGCATAAATCACAAACTCACTTAGCCAGAAAAAGTGACTGGTTATTACAATTTAATTTTAAGTAAATACATAGTGTTGAAGTTGTAATTTTTTCCTTTAATTTGTGTGCTTTATTTTTTTTTATTGTGAGAATACCATACAGAGGAGTTACAATTACATGGGCAAGATAATGAGTACATTTCTTATCAAGCATTGTTGCCTCCTTTATAACCTGCCATTTTAACAGAAAATCTAATGATATTTGTGTTGCAGAGATATATAGTACTATCTAAATGTTCTCCTTGGCAGTTGGGAATCAGGCAGTGTTTTCTCTTCTTCTGCAGAGAAATTGCTGTGGGGGATATATACATACATACATTCATACATATTCTGAACCTTAATTAACATTAAAATTCTATAATTCTTACACAATTCTGTGAGATGCTAGTAAAAACATGTTAGCATTAGTGAAAATAAGTTTCAGGTTCAACCATGAAGTTATTTATTTCTGATAGAGATTTAGTTTTCTAAAATATATGTTCTTTGGAGAGAACTAAGTAGATTGTTACCTATTCACATTGCAAAACCACAGTAGTGGGTGGGGAAAACTCCTAGCTAATGACTCCATGATTCCCATTATGTGGATAATTCTCATTCTCCAGTTGTATTTTTAACTTTAAGAATGTGGGAGGGAAGGACTGGGAGAGGATGAGGGAAGGGAAGATACTGTATGAAAGAAATGTACTCATTACTCAAGTCATGTAATTATAATCCCTCTGTACATCGCCTTTGTAATTAAAGTAAATAATAATTTTATTAAAAAGAATAACTGGCCGAAACAAAAAAGGAGTGTGTTATAAAATGTAATGATGGAACTGTGCTAAGTAGCACAAATGTTTTAAAACTTAATCACACAAAAAAATGATATATTAGAGCAAAGAGTATATGGAGACTTTGAAAGACAAAAAAATGTCAATACTTTTCAGTCTTGTATCCACCTAAATGCACCATCTACTCTTTCTCAGGCTTTGCTAGAGGTGGTTAATGACCTCTTTGAAGAACAGACTGACCTGGAGAAAATTGTCAAGAAAATAATGCATCGAGCACAAACTTTGTTGAAATGTGAACGCTGTTCTGTTTTACTCCTAGAGGACATTGAATCACCAGTAAGTTATCTTTTATTTGTTATATAGAGTCAAAGTCTGAGAATGGAATATGGCTGAGTTTATCTATAATTAAACTTGTGAAATCATGAGAGGAACACCTCTCCTCATGACTCTTCTAACCAGAAGATGACGTAATACGTTAAGAGTTTATTTTCTTTAGATGCATTTCCATTCTTGTTTTAGCACCACCTTGGAGCTGGAGGCTCTTTAAGTTGATGGAGACTTTAGGGACCCATGCTACGTATGTATAGATAAAGGCACTAAAGGGTGCTGGTTGCTCATTTACAAGGCTCAATTAGAAGAGAAATTGACGTGCCAATATCCCACTTTGTTTATCCAGCAAGGGTCAGGCACACAGTATTCCAACGAAATAAATGACGGGAGGCTCTTAGCAATCAGAGCCAGTCAGATTGTACCTGTGCTGGGTGGCATCAGCCCTAGCTGGATCTTCTGGTAACAGGTTTGATGTGCTGGACTTCCAGACTCTTTCATTGCCTTTTTTAGACCTGCAGATCATGGTCCAGAGCAGCCTCAGGGAAGGAGTACCTTCTTCCTCACCACAAGGCTCCTGCTACTCCAAAGAGAAGTTTCATGGAGCTCAGAGCCTCTGGCCTGATACATCTGGCAGATTTATGGCCAGTATTTAGGTTCCATTCAACCTGTTGTTAGCTCTTTGGGAGAAATCTGTTGGACAAAAGGAATGCACAACAATATTGAAATAATATTTATCATCAGTCTCAGTTCTTGAACGTTAAGTGTCTAAACCTTCTATAGCAATTTAACGTATTTGTTGACAACTCCCTCCAAAGGTCAGGAGTTGTGTAACAATTAAAAGCTGTTTTAACACTGAAGAGAATTTTATTTTACTGTACTTTACTTAGAAAGGATTATTTCCTTTGCCTTTATGTTAGTTTTCCTCAAAGAATAATAACCCTGAAGATAAATTTTAAGAAATATTGCAAAATTACATTGAGTTTATATAGACATATGTAATTCAATACAATAAACTATATTTATCTATACAAGCTCAATGTTGTAATATGTCTATGTATGTTTCAAATGTTTGTCAAAGCTTGTTTTAGCAACGCTTGAGGTTATTTGTATTTCAATCAGTTTGAATTATATGAACAATTGCCTTACATGTGTTCTGTGAATGAATAGAATTTACTGATTCTTGGGAGAAAGTGTACACATGTGTGGGTACACACATACACGTGCACGTGCACACACACACCAATAACATGTAAGTGGAGAGTACTTCAAGTACTTTTTAAGAAGTCTTGAGTTACTTTAATTCTCATATTATGAAGTAGGTATTATTATCACCTGGATTTTACACATGAGTTGAGTTAGTTCTCAGAGTCACCACTTACTGCCAAATGGAGAGGGTGGAGTGCTGATCTGTACCTGGCAGGCTTCGCAAAAGACAACTGTTGGAACTTGGGCTGTCCAAATTCACTGAGTCAACCCCAAATCCCCGTAAGAGCAAGAAACTCAGAAGGCCAGGATATGGACAAAGCTATGTTTATTGCTAGTACACAAACATGAATGTAATTGAAACCAGCTCAGGGTGGTAATTCTTGCTGACCTTCCCACCTGTACTTGTTTGTAATAGTGTGGTTCAGCTGTCTGGCAAGCCAAACAAAAATGGACAGATGAGGAAAGCTGGAAGCCTGGTATAAAACAGAAAGAGAAGGGGCAGACCCACCCTGTAGAGAGGGTAGAGGGCACAGACGGCAAGGTCGCTGACAAATTACTGAGTTCAAAGAGCTATTTTATAATTATTGGTGCTGAATGCTCAATGACTGCATAGACAAGGATGGAGCAGAAACACTGATCCACTCCTCATCATTTCTTCTCTCTGTCACCTTCCTCCCTCAAAGAAAGGATGACTCCCCCAATCCAAAAGAAAAGAAAAGCCAGAAAATAAGTTGAGCTTATTCTGCTTGGTATTGCTTTAGAAGCTGTGAAGATTTTTATTTTTTGCCAAATCTGCTGTCTGGGAAGTTGGTGGAAGAGTTTGGCTAGGAATATGTTTATGTGGTATCACCAAACAGAAAATTATCCAAGTCATGCTTTCTTTTAGCTTATTTCTCCAGAGCTTCCTCAAGTCTTTGGTGGTAGGTGCTGCTATTCTTTGCATCACCAGTTGTCAGGTAGGAGTAGGAGTTATTGTAGGGTGACAAGACACAGTCACCCAAGGACCAGGAAAGTACCCAGGCTGAACATAAAACCAGACACCCAACTATGGTAGCAAATTGAAAATTGTGTAGAGACAAAGTACTTTGGCTAGACTGTCTTCCTTCCTCATCTCAGAATATTAAATAGACAAATTGATACTAAAAGCCTTTGTTATCTAGACTTAATGAAGGCTGTGATTGATTGGCAGAGAGGAAACCCAAGTAACATCTGGAAACACAATTTGATTTGATCCGATGAACCAAGAGCAAACCTAAATTGATTTTTTTGTCCATTATGGGGCTTGAACTCTGGGCCTGAGTGCTGCCCCTGAGCTCTTCAGTTCAAAGTAAGTACTCTAACACTTGAGCCACAAGGCCATTTCCAGTTGCCTGGTGGTTAACTGGAGATAAGAGTCTCACAGACTTTCCTGCCCAGGCTGGCTTTGAACTGTGATCCTCAGATCTCAGCCTCTTGAGTAGCTAGGATTATAGGTGTGAGCCACTGGCACCTGGCTCTAAATGGATTTTTATCCTTTCAAAAATGAGAATTACAACAAGTCCAAAAAATAGTTGAAGTTCCCACATGGGCTTTTAAACTATAAAGCAGTGTTATTAAAAAAAAAAAAGTAACAAGATTCCTATTTGCAAGAGCCAAAATTTCCTAAAGGCTTGAAAAGAATCAAAGCCAAAAGTTATGAACAAAGCAAGACACGGGAAAGAAAATAGATAAAGCCCTAGGCTGTCCTGAACCTGTATTGCTCAGACTAAAGGGGGTAAAATATTACCTGATGTTGCTAGTCCTCTTCACATAGCTCCATAAAGCCTCCAGTCCTCACAGGGTGATATTATTCAAGACAGCCATGGTGGGGGAGGGTTGAAAGTTGCCCCCCACACACACACACATACCATGGTATGGCAGCAGAAAGATGGGCGGTAGCAACGTTGGGGAAGCCAAGGGGCAGCGAGTGCCTGCTAGTTTTTCTAAAGTCCCAGAGGAGTATTAGAAACAGTTTTCCTACTACCTGACAGCAGCTAATAGAGGTAGAGCTAAGACCTGAAGAAGCCTTCTTGACCTGTAGAGCTGCAACCTAGACCAGGATGTACTGTGTTACTATCTTACCCTTAGCAGGGGCCATCCTGGGTAGTGGGGATCTCAATTGAGCATGTTCCTCTCCATAACTCTCAGGATATTGCAGGTCATCCCGGTAAAAGTCTCAATATTCAATGGCTATTAAAAAGTCTCAATATTCAATGACTATTAAATTTGAAATGACTGAAAAACCTGAAGCAGCTGATTCAAACTATGGTTTTCTCTTTTGTCTTCTGTCAAGATGAGAGTTGTGTTACAGAAAAATGATGGATTATATTTTCTACAATCTTAACTGAAAGCTTTAAGATTTACAACATACGTATTATAGTCTCTCATTAGTAATCTTGTATTTGATAAAAAATACATTGGCAATAAAATGGATGGGGAAATGATGGATTATTCTATAGGTATTCTATACCTATTATACCTATTATAATTTTGTAAAAGGAAAATTTTTAACAGAAATGTAAAACAAATACAAGTCAAAGATTGTTTTTAACTGCACTTATGAGGGAATCAGTATGATATTAAAACCAGTCTTAGGAGACTTGAAAGATCAGATACTTGAGGTGGACATGGTAGTACATGCCTGTAATCTCAGCTACTCAGGATGCAGAGCTGGAGGTAGGATAATCAAGGGTTTAAAGTTAGCCTGTTAAAGTTAGCAACTCCTTATCTCAAAAACAAAATATAAGCAAAAGGGCTGGGAGCATGGCTAACGTGGTAGAATGACTCTCAGTACTGGAAAAAAGTCAACTATTTCTAGGCAATGTTATAATAAGATTTTGAGGTTATAAACAAAGCTAGTTAGAGACAAAACTAGGCTATAAACTGCACTCTTTGAGGCTATCTTTTTCTTTTTTAACTGTATTTTTTTTTGGTCTTTTTTGGTACTGGGGATCAAACCCAGGACGTTGCACTTGCTAGGCAAGCGCTTTGCCACTGAGCTACATCCCAGCCCGAAGCTATCTTTTTCATTAGAGAAAATTTACTTACATTTCTAAAGAAATGTAAAGAAAGTTACAGATTAATATGTTTCTTTACTAAATCTGGAGTGCTTTATCAATAATGCCCATTGAGTGGAACTAAGTACAGTTCTAAGGAGAAATTATTTTTAATAATTAATATCACTTTATTGTTATTGTAAAGATGATATACACAGGAGTTGTAGTTACAAAAGTCAGGTAATGAGTACATTTCTTTTTGAACAGTGTCACTCCCTCCCTCGTTTTCTCTGTTTTTCTCCTGACCCACCTCCCCTACAAGTTGTAAAGTTCATTTTCATCAGTGTATAGGGAGTGTCACTGTTGTCTTTGCTCACCCTTTGTCCCATCACATGAGAAAATTATTTCCTGCAGAATTCCAAGGAATAAATACTTTAGACTGTCAAGCTCATACAGTCTCTGCTGCAACCACCCAACTCTGCCAATGTAGCATAAAGACATAGATGAAGAATGAGCATGACTACATTCCAATAAAACAATTTCTAAAAATAGGCAATGGGCTAGATTTGGCTTGCAGGAAGTACTTTACACATCCCAGACATAGATAATCACCAATCTGCACATTTAAAAATGCACACACAGCAAAGAGCCACCAGCCTGGGACTTCTGAAAAAACACCCCAACACTAAAGGAGGAATGGACTATGAAAACAAAATGAGATGCAGTGTATGCACCAAAAATGATAACAATTTTCCATGAGATGAAATGAAAGAATGTGATTTCTTG